GAGTTTGGGGAACATCTAAATTCAAAGATGGGGCAAACTCATTAAAAACAATGGCAGATGGGGCTAACTCATCAAAGCAAAGATGCTTACGCTCAATAAAAAAAAAAAAAAAAAAAAAAAAGAGAAAAAAAAGATAAAAAAGCTCTTTGTTTTCCATAAGCAACTGAAGGTATTTTTAAAGGAACACAACAATTCTTGGATTGCTTGAAAGCAGAAAGTTGCTGCATGCAAGTGATCCTGGGTGGTGCTAAATTGTGTGAGGGCAGTGTTTGCCTCTGTCAGAGGCTGGTGAGGTTGAGGTTGAGTGGATGGTATTAAATGGGGGAATCAGCACCTCTGGAATCTCCAACAGGAGTTATCACCCTGAGGGAAATCCGGTGGGAATCACAACCTGAACCTCTCAGCTCATCACTGCCAAGCCCACCGCTAAACCACGTCCCTCATGTCTTTTAAACACCTCCTAGAAAAGTAACACAACCATCAACAAGATATGTCCAGGCTTTCAAAAGGCAGCTGACAACAAGTCTGACCACGGGCACTGCTGAAATTCTCAGCAGCAACATCTGTGACCCCCGGTGTGCATGGGCCATCTGTGCATGAACGCACTTGGTGCTGCTTGAAACCTGCCTGGAACTGCTCCCAGTCTTCAGAGGGGTGCCCTTTGCTCTGCACTGATAACCCACAGGTATAACTGCCAGGTGAGCAGGGGTTTATTTCTGTTTAACAAAAACAAAGCAACCCACGCAGGAGCGGATAAATAAAGCTTGAGCTCGGCTGTGCTTGGTGAGGAATATACAAAAAAGCAGATTCCCAAGGACGGGTGTCCCTGAAGGAGAGCCCAGGAGGGCAGTTTGGTGGCCATGGATGGCTCTGGGCTGTCTCATCCTGCTGGGTGAGCAGAGATGCTGTGGGAGGAGGGAGAATCCTCAGCACTGCCCCTCTCCAGAGCACCCCTTGCACACCAGGTGTTTGTGTGAGCTCTCACACCTTCCCTCTCTTCTCTTGGCAGCTGATTTGGGTGACATGGGACACAAGAAACCCTCCAGATGCTGCATCTCCTCGAGTTTCACCTGCTCTCCAGAAGCCTTGTCAGGGTAAAATGCAGCAAAATCACTGCTTTTGATGAATCAGCAACAGGGATTTTATTGGATGTAACCCAGAACCATGGATTTGTTCCCAGTTCCCCTTTCATTATGTTGGGCCAGGAATGGAGATGGGGCCCTGGCAGCTCCTGGCCCTGAAGCTGCAGTGACAACACACTGCAATCCCAAAAAATGTCAGGAAATGCATCTTTTTGTCTGACCACCCCAGAGCAACACTGTGATACAACCTTTCCTAAAATCTGCAGTTCCTGATGCCATCAGCTGCTCCCACAGACAACCAAATCAAAGTGAGGTAAGGTGCACACCGAGAGGCAGTTTGTTGAAAATCGAGTTCCAAACTTAAGCTTTAAAATAAACATATCAAGATAAACAGATTGGTCTTTGTTTCAGGCACAATCGGCTTGACTGTTTTTTTTCTTCTTGTTGATGTTCTCGATGTTTTTCAATGTGTGATGCCATTTCCTGAGGACTGTCTCTGCTCCAGAAACCTGTGTTCTTCCTTGGCTTCTCTCTCTCTGCCTTTTGTGGTTTATACACACAGGTGACCAGTTTTTTAGAGAAATTCTGACTCAGGCTGCACACTAAGGCTTTTCACTCCATCATTTCTACTCTGCTCTACACTCGGGCCACCAATGTGAGTTGCTTGCACCAGGCACTAATTCCTCTGCCAAAATGGGTGAGCAGCAGCAGTGGCAAGGCTAGGGCAACCCCACTCCCACAGTGAGATGTGGTAAATGTGGAATAAACCTCCTCCTTCCACCTGGGGAGGGAGGGAAACACACAGAGGCCACAGCAGTCTGGCACAGCCAGGGCTGCAGCAGATTCCCTTCTGTCCCAGCACAGCATCATCATCTGGAAAAATGTCATTGTACATCCCAAGGCAAGAGGGGACACAAATTCTGTGCAATTCTCTATCTGAATTAGGCAATCCCCAAAGCCAGCTTTGAACAGCACAGAAACATGCTGTGTTCTGAGTTAGTGGAAGGAAAGTTTTAGAGAAAATTGGGAAATTTGGAGCAAACTGAGACTTGGGAGAAACGCTCAGCTGGCGACAGAAGGCATGTTCAAATAAATCTGTCCTAAGAAAACAGCACTGAGGTCGCTGTGTCGGCTGGGAAAGCATCAGTTGTGAGCAGTTGCAAACTTCATGCATTTAATTTCCACTCTTGGGACCATTAAATCTCAGTCCTTATCATTTAAGGGAGGAAATCACCATTGTGCTTCATTAGTGAGAAAAAGAATGTGTTGATCTTTATGTGGGATGTTCAAGTGCAGGTGTCATTGGACTTACCAGTTCCTGCAAACATCCACTTTTTAAAGCACCCTGCCAACACCTACACAATTAAAAATCAAGACTCAGATGAAAGTGGGCCACATCTTTTTAACATGAAATCTTCACATACCTCACACGTGTCTGCCTGAATTATCCAGAAACATGGCAATCAAATATAATTTAATGAATGATTGTGAAAGCAAACCTGTTTTATTTCAGTTCGCAATATTCAAAACTTCTCTTCCTGGAACCCATGAAGTTCTGGCATTTATTTCAAAGATATCAGATCACTTATCTGCTTCTGAAGCATTCTTGTTCTCTTATTTCTAGTAAGAGATGTGATTTTAATTTTGATGTTGGCCTCAAGTGATCCCGAGCTTGAAATTTGGACCAGGAAAACGCTGCATTGCTTGGGAGATCTGTAAATTACACAAACTTACAGCGAGAGGAAACAAAAGGAAAATAACTGATGGGGAAGAAATGTTCGGAGAGCTGCAAACCTCCATCCACATTAGTGGCTTTCTGCTGAGACTAAGCAAGAAGGGAGGTTTGGAGGTTTGCATTCAGTTTGGATACTCAGAGTGGTTGTCAGAGGGCCTCAAGAGCACAAGCCCTGCCTGGGAGTCACAGCTGGGACCTGCTCGGGGCGCTGAGCAGAACCCCAGCCCTGCACCTCTGAACGGGGACTGTGCCTCCCTTCCCTTCCTGGGCATCGTCCTGCATTTCAGCGGCCTTCATCTCCCCACACTAATCCTTTTTGTACCTGTGGTTCCTGGCACATCCTCTGCCAGGACACGGACTTTGAGCAGAATTTTAAAAAAAGCCAACAAAAAAAAAAAAAAAAAAAACCAACAAAAAACTCCAAAAATACAACACTCTGCTTTTTAGCGCCAGAGTTATTAATAATTAACATTCATAGCACAAAACCGGTAAAACCGGTTCGGCAAAATAAAGCCCGGCATTTTATTATTATTTTAGGGTTTAATTTAGTCATCCTAAGTTACTCGGGCTCATGTTTGCAAATCACGCAGTGCTGGGACTTCACCCCTCCGGCCCGACCAGTTCTGGAGAGCGGCTGGGGGGCAGCGGGGGACCGGGACAGCGCCGGGGGAGCGGGGACACGGCAACCGGGGAACCCCGACGCATGGAAACCATCGCGGAGCTCCGGGACACGGCACACGGGGCTCCCCGCCGCATGGAGCGCATCCCGGAGCTCCGGGACACGGCACACCGGCGCTCCCCGCCGCACGGAGCGCATCCCGGAGCACCGGGACGCGGCCCGCCCCGTCGGGGATGCGCGGCGCCGGGGCGCGGCGCCGGCTCGCCATTGCCCTCTGGAGGAGCCCGGGCCGTTCTTTGCGGTTCCCCTCGGGGCTGTGCTAAATTTGGGGATTGTTTTGTAGTTTTAATTTCTATCTCTTTTTCTTTTTTTTTTTTTTTTAATTTTATTTTATTTTACGGACTATTCCCAGCCTTGCATCCACTCCCGGGAATGGGGGCTGCCCGACCGCGGCTCCTCGGTCCCGGTGATGAAGGAGTCGAGAATAGCCCAGGGCTGGCGTGGGCCAGGTGAAGGACCGCGCCGTCGGGGCGGTTCGGAAAATGAACAAAAATGGGAAAAGAAAAAAGAATTAAAACAAACAAACAAACAAACAAACAAACCCCAAAAAACAAACAAAAAGAAAAAGTAAAAAAGAAAAAAGGGAAAAGAAAAAGTAGAGAAGAAATAAATAAAAAGAAAGTTTAAAAGTACACTAAACGAAAAATAGCACGAAGATGCAAGTCTAGGCGGAAGGCAGACAGGCAGAGCGCCCCGGCGGCCGCTCGGGATGCTCCGTCCCACCTCCCTTCGTCCCTCCCTTCCCGACGACTCCCGCCGGGAGTTCCCTCCCCGCCGCCGGTGCGGGAGCCCCCGCGGCGCGCGGGCATCCCCGGCGCGTGTGTCCCCGCGTCCCGCCCCGCCGCTCCCGCGTCACCGCCGCGCCCGCGTCACGGGGCGCTCGGGGCGGGGCCGCCGCTCGCTCCGTGCGCTCCCCGGAGCCGGCCCGGCCCGCCCCGTCCCCCTCCTTTCTCCCCACATGTCCGTTTGTTGTCGCCGTCGCCATGGCGGCGGGGGCGGCGCGCCCGCCAAGTGAGGTGATAAGAGGGAGCGGCGGCGACAGGACCGCGCAGTGCCGAGCGGGGCGCGGCGGCGGCGGAGCGCGCCCGGCGCATCCCTCCTTCCATCCAGCCCTCCTTTCCCCACTGGCACCACCGCGCCCCGTCCGTCTTGCCCGGCTCCCCACATGGCCGCGGCTCCTCGGGAAACGCCTAGCGCCGCCGCCCTGCCGGTGCCGGAGCCGCGTTGCCGGGCGGCGGCCGCCGCCTCCTCTTCACCCTCCTCTTCCTCGTCCCCGCGGCGCCGCTAGCGCCCCGCGTCCCGCTCCGCGCAGCGCCGAGCTACAAGAAGAAGCAGAAGCAGCAGGAGCAGCAGCCCGGCGCTCCCGCGGCACCGCCCCGGCGGCGGTGCTGCGCCGGCTCCGCGCGGCTGGACGGCGCGTCCGTGCCGCCTTCCCTCCCTGTGCTCCGCGCCGGCGCTCGGGACCACGGCGGCGGCGGCGGCTCGGCGGGACGCCCCGGCACGGATGCGGTGGGTGCCGGCTGCGGCTGCCACCTTCCCTCCCTCCTTCCCTCCGTCCCCCTCCGTGGCCGGCCGCCGGCTGACTCGGCTGTGTCTCCCCACCGCAGGCAGCCCCCCGGCGAGTGCGAGATGGCGCTCAGCGGCACGCTCCTTCCCTCCATCGCCACCTTCGCGGCGGGCGCCGCGGGCCGCGAGAAGGCGGCGCGGCCCGCGGGCCCCGGCAACGTGAGTATCGGCGCCGCGGCGCCGCGACACGGACGGGGCCGGGCGGGACGGGCCGGGGCCGGGGCCGGGCGGGGCGGGGGCCGTCGGGGCGGGCGCGGTGCCGTGCGGCCGGCGCTGAGCCGTGCGAATGTCCCCGCAGCGCTGGCGGGAGGAGCTGTCGCAGCTGAAGCGGCCGCCGCCGGCGCTGTCGGCGCGGCCGGTGGAGACGCCGCCGTCGGAGCTGGAAGGCGCCGCCGCTCTCGGGCCCCGCCGCGACGCCGAGGAGTTCAATGAGCTGCTGGACTTCGACTTCATCCTCTCCAACTCGCTCATGCACCAGGAGCCCGCCGCCGCCGCCATAGTGGTGGCCCCCGCCGCCACCCCGGCCCCCACCGCCAGCCCCTGCCCCGCCGGGCCCTTCGCCTACCCGCTGCCCCGGCCCGAGCCCGCCGGTCTCCTCTACGGCGGCGGCGGCTGCGACGGGGCTCCCGCCGCCGGCTCCGCCGCGCCCTTCAATCTGGCCGACATCACCGACGTGTCCCCCTCGGGAGGCTTCGTGGCCGAGCTGATGCGGCCAGACCTGGACGCGGTGTACCTGCCAGCGCCGGCCGCGCTGCCGCCCCTAGGCAGCCTGCAGGGCAAGTTCGTGGTGAAGGCGGTGGGCGACTACAGCCACCCGGGGCTCAGCCCCAAGAGCGGCCCCGCCGCCCCGCCGCCCGGCGCCGACGGCCCCGGCGCTCCCTACACCTCCCTGCCGCGGATGTGCCCCAAAATCAAGCAGGAGGCCGCGCCGCCCTGCACGCTGGCCCCGCCGCCGCCGCACGGGAGCAGCCCCCGAGGAGCCCCCCAGCACGACTTCGCCCTGGGCAGCCGGCCGCTGCCCGCCCGGAGTACGCCGTCGCTGGGGCCCGAGGAGATGCTGGGCGGCAGAGACTGTATCCCCGCCACGCCGGGGCTGGGCCACCCGCCGCTGCCGCCGGGGTACCCCCCGGCTCCGGGCTACCCCGCCTTCCTGCCCGAGCAGCTCTCTCCCGGAGCGCTGCAGTACCAAGGTGAGTCCCCGCGGTGCTGCTGGGGCTGCGGATTGTCCCGGCTTGGGCGCTGGCCGTGCTCACTCCTCCCTGTCCGCCCCTAGAGCTGATGCCGCCGGGGAGCTGCCTGCCTGAGGAGACCAAGCCCAAGAGGGGACGGCGGTCATGGCCTCGGAAAAGGACGGCCACACACACCTGTGACTATGCGGGCTGCGGCAAAACCTACACCAAGAGCTCTCATCTCAAGGCGCATCTGAGAACCCACACAGGTTAGTTCTCCCAGCGCCGGGGTCAGGGGGATGTCCTGGCCTGAGGGGCACGGGGTGTGACCCCACCGGACAGTGGAGGGGTTAAAAGCAACAAGGCTTTTCCTTGCTGGGTTTCCGGGCTTTTTTTTTTTCCTCCCCCCTTGGCTACGTGAAGTCCTGAGCAGTCTTCACTTATTGGCTTGACATTTTGCTTAATGGTTCAGAGTGACTCAGATGTGGGAGCGGGTGGGTTTCTTGCCAAGTCAGAGTTTGTTCCTTCTCTCTTGCTGTGTGGCTAGCTAATTAGCAGGTAGCTGGAAGCCGGCAGGGATTTGTTGCTCCGGATTGTGTTCACCCACTTCTGAGAAGGCAGCAGCCCTCTCTCGAAGATAACTACTTTCTTTGCTGGTGAAGTGCTTTGCACATGCACCCCTCTCTTGGTTGGCTGTAGGGCAAGAGGTTGTGCACCTCTACAAGTTGTTACTCCCTTTTTGGGAAAACCGAGATAGATTCCCTGTAGAGCAGGGTTTTTTTCAGCTGAGCTGGCAGCGCCGATGAGGTGCCTCACCCACCATCTCCCCCTGCACCAGCAGAGTTTAATTGTCGATTATCCAGTGCTAGAATTGGGATAAAATCTTCCCAAAATGTGTGTGTGTGAGCCCAGTCTCTAACTTCGTAGCTGAGTACAGAGTTGCAGTAACTGAGCTTGTGAAAGCAGGTACAGCACACAGGTTTCGCCAGCGTGGGCATTCCGTAACAGTGACTAAATAACCTGGGAATTTGCATAATTTGAATCCCTGGGTTGTGAACCTGATTCAAAACTTTCTCCTGAAGGGGAGATGGGAAAGGGAAAACACACTGGTGCGGCAGTAGTTAAGCTATGTCTTCGGGTAATGGCAGAAAGGGGAAAAAAATTGGGCAAGTGAGCAGTGAGCAGAAAATCTGCCTCAAGCCAGTCAGCACCATCCCCAGGATGTGTAGGACAGGGAGTTTATAATTGTTGGGGAAGCTCATCTTGCTATTGACAGTAGTTTTTGTATAATGAAGACACTAGTAAGACTGAGTCCTTAATCAGGCAGAGCTAATGAAAACAGTTTCCAGCTGTTTTTTCATTCTTGAGACCTACAATTATCTAAATACGTTGTCTGCTGAGCTATTTCTGGTTGCTGTTTTGATTGTGTAACACCGCCAGCAAAAATACACACTCAGGTGCTCTGAAGCCTGGTGTGCAAGGCAGTGAAAATGAGCATTTTTGTGAAGATTTAAGTGACACTAGCATTTCATAGCACCTTGAAAAGATGTACATCTTGAGAAGACAGCCTTGCTGTTTCAGTCTTTTAGTCTTTGTAGTTTGTTTGCAGCTGCTTCATGGAATTCATTGCTTTTGACCACTCTTTGATTTATCTAGGACTGCTTGAAAGAAGGTGCTACAAGTGATAGCCGCAGAAAACCCCCAAAATTCCTGTGTTTCACTGCTTGCTTTTTGGTTTGGTTTTTTTTTTGCAGGTGAGAAGCCTTATCACTGTGACTGGGAAGGCTGCGGGTGGAAGTTTGCCCGATCTGATGAACTCACCCGTCACTACAGAAAACACACGGGCCACCGCCCTTTCCAGTGCCAGCGCTGTGACAGAGCCTTCTCCAGGTCGGACCACCTTGCCTTACACATGAAGAGGCACTTCTGATTTGGGAAAGCAGTGGATCTTTCCCCCGACTGCCACAGAGATTCAGTATTTACAGCACAAGGACTGTCTTCCACAAGACGGGGAGAACTCATTTTAAGCACTACAGATAATCGAGGTGAAGTCTTCCAAAGAGTGGAAAAGAGGGATAACTGCATATGGACATTGCAACTTTCTTTTTTTTTATAGTTATACACTTAAGAGAACCAAAGACATTGGGGGTCAATGACTGGATCTTCTATCATTCCATTTGTAAATCCAACTTGAATTATTTCTGGACTACAGAATGCCAAGGAGTGACTGGAAGTCACGGATATCAGGGTTAAACAGACTGTATGTAGTTCGGAGGGTGGGGATATTACACAGGGAAATTACATTCCCTTAATTTCCTTTCAATGCAATATTAGATGTACATGTCATCTTGTACTTTCTTTTGTTTTTTTTTTTTTTTTCCTTCTAAAGCCATTACAATGTTAAAAGAGGAGGAAAAATTCAGGTACAGAATTATATTTTAAAAGCCTATTTCATGGTGCTTAGTGACTGTTGGTTCTAGAGGTACCAAAAACAGGAAGCCAAAGTTCTCAAACTGCTGCATATCTGACAAGGAACTATTTTTTATCTTCCGATTGCCAATTATGACCTAAATCAGGTGAATAACCCTGGTTTATCTTTTTTATTAAGAAAATAACTTTATGCAGACAGTCTGTAATGCACTGTGGTTTCGATGTGCAATAGTTTGTACAATGGTTTATTCCCAAATATGCCTTAAGCAGAACAAATGTTTTCTATATAGTTCTTTACATAATAAATATGTAATATAAATTTAAGCAAACTTCTATTTTGTATATTTGTAAACTACGAAGTAATAATGAACATTTTGTTGGAATTTGTATTTTGCATATTCAAGGTGAAAATAAGTTTTAAATAAACCTATAATATTTTATCTGAACGGTTGCTCTAGTTTTTTTCTGTGTATGGACATGGCCAAAGGAAGTTTGTTAGGTATTTGTTGGTGGTTGAGTTTACCAAGGCAAGGAGGGGGTGGTGGCAAAATGCTTGTAGTCTCAAGACTCTGAAAGACAGGATTGTGTAAGTGCAGTGCTGATGTAACATCTCTTTTTAGGGAAAAAGGTGTATGGAAAGTTTTTGCTCTGGATGTCAAGTTGCTGCTTATCTCACCTGTATGGGTAAAACTGTAATTTATGATTTTTAAAGTAACTCAGTTTAAATGATTTTTTAGAGGACATAGTTTTGTTGAGGACATAAGACCTTGTGCATCTGATGATAACAAATATAGTAGTTAAAACAAAAGTGTAAATATCAACTTTTTATGCCCTAATGTGCCTTTGGAATGCTACTAAAGTCCAAATTTCGATGTAGTGTTTGTGTAGGGACCGTTGCCATTTCTCCCTCAGTTCGTGTAAGTAATATAATGATGCAGAAAATATTTCTCACCCCTTATCGCCTAGGCATGCTTTGTTCAACTGAAAGCTATCTTTGGTGATTTGGTTTATAGGTAACACAGGGAGTAGGGAATGTCTTGTTTGGTTTGCAAATAGCAGGCATTTCAAGCTAAATTAAAGTTATGAGTCATCCTTTATCTGAAGCTTTTTCCATGTGAAAACTTTTTTACAATTAAACCAGGCATTTTTTTTACCTCCTCTGTTGCTCTGCCTGTGAATTCTGGATGAGAGATCCAAGGTCAGCATTGAAACTGGCGTGTGCTGAGGGCCTGAAATGTCATTGTCCCATCCGATAATGCTGGAGCACACTTGGTAGGTGCAGGATCTCCTTTGTATGGCTGCCGTTCAAAACCTCTTACATAGGTGCAAGATCTATGTTCTAGCACATCTGTGAGTACAGAAATCTGAATATTTCATCTGGGAAACTGGTTTCTTTTGCTTTTCAAGCATTCTGTCATTATACACCCTTAAGAATTTTGTAAGGCACTGTAGCACTTAGTAAGGCATTATCTGCTTCAGCCAGCTTCAGTTTTTGCTTGATGTTTTTATGGACCCTAGGTTTCTAGTTGCATGAACAATGGCATTCTTGAAACAGAGCATTTTTCCTTATTCCACTTGATTTTTTTTTAAAATTCCCTTTTTTTTTTCCCCTGATCCTAACCAAGCTGTCTTCATGTATGAATTTCCAGACTGAAAGAGACAGGACTGTAACTTTGTATTTAAAAGGAAATGCTGCTGTGTCTTTAACCATTTCAAAATCGCTGTTCCTGTACTTTTTTGGGAGGACAGGAGCCAGCTGCTCACTTTTTGCCATACAGCATTCAACACATGAGAGGCAGTCCTTACTCTTAAGGAGGTCTCTGGGGGAAATGCTGAAATGAGCAATGCTCTGCTAAGTAGAGCTGGAAACAGCACGTTGTGTTTGCCACCTGTTTCGTCGTGTCTGCGATCCTGGAGTTGCTCTTAGGTGCAGGATTGCACATGGATGCAGTGAAACAACGCATGTATCAAAAAGCGTATCTCATAAAAACATATGTAAAACACCGAGAAGTCTTGTAAGTATGTCTTGAAAAACAAGATTTGTTTAGCGTTGCTAAAGCTCTACATGTGCCACTTTGCTGGGGCATCTAGAAGTCAGGGTTTGAGGTTATTAGGGGTGGCCTCTCTGACATGGGGTGAGTACCTCCACAGCTGCCCCAGAGCACTATTACGGCTACTGAAGGCAAAATCTCTTGCGGCAGGGAGTTATCTCTGCAGTCAAACTACAACCGTCCTTAATCCTGCTCACCCCTAGCCCAAATCTCTCTCTGGAGCGCGCTTAGCATGTAGAGATGGAGCTGCTTAAAACAAGATGGCACATGCCTGCTTGCCGAGTGCCAAGTATTCAAAAGTGGCACCAGAGTAAAAATCTTCTCAGAGCTGCAGCTGCCATGCACTTGTCTGCTGCACACCATGGCCTGGGAGCCTGGCTTTGACTGTGACCCAGCACAAGTGGCTTCAGCCACCCCCTGTCACACGGAGGGCTCCTTGCAAGGGAGTTTTCTCATCCCTCGTGGTGGCTACCAGATCCTGCTGCAGCTGAACTCAACGGCGAATCTCACAAGGATTTATATTAAGCTGATATGAATCAGTGAATTTCATTCTCCTTCTCTTTAATAAGGGAAGATCAGAGAGTGCTGCGGTTAATCACCCCGAGTGCTAACGGTTCGACAGAATTAGTTTACACAGGTTTCCTATGGGAGTGTGCTGGGTCTTGGAGCTAGCCTGCTTTCACTGGAGTCCCTGGCAGGCACTTTTAAGAGCATTTGAGTGCAAGAATTTCCAAATTAACCTGTGTCTGTCCCTGGGCTTTCCTCCTCTCAGTGCAATTGGGTCACGTGCTCAAGGGCAGCAGGAGAATAGGAATGGTTGGCAAGCTGGGGACAGAGAGAAAAGGGGTTACAGCACTCGAGTAGGACTTGGGCAGGGATCTGGATGTGGTAGAAGAGCTGGTAGGAGGAAGTAAACTCAAGGTATGGTGAGCTAAACTGATAAGGGAGAGGAAGAGGAACACCACCAGAACCACCAGCAGCACCGCCACGTTTTGACTCAGGCTTGCCAGGAGAGCACTCCAGACTAAACATCTGCATTTAGGCTCGGTGGATGTATCTCTGGACACAGAGATGAGTGTGTACTTAAAAGAGGGGGAAGGCCCATCATTCTCCGAAATTTAATTGAGGTCACATTGGCTTGGAGCCACAGGGGAACACACCCACATTCCCCTGTCTGCCGTACACCTGGATGACTCACGTTCCGTCTGCCCTTCGCTCTTGCCGTGACTTCACCAGGGGAACATTTTCATTACTGCTGAAGGCATTGCCACTGAGTGCAGAAATTGTCTCTGCGGCGTGGAAGTGGGCGGTGGTGGTGGATCCGCAGCCTTGTTCTCCACCCTGGATGCATATAGGTATCTGCTAGTCTCTTTTTCACCTTTGGATGCATTACCTGTGAGCCCTCGAGGCTTGAACCTTAATGGTGTGAAAGACGGGAGGGGGAAAAGTGGCTTGTGCTTTATTAATGTTTATTCTATATTTAGAGCATGTGTTCCCAGAGATTTACAGGAGACAGGCGGCCCTAATAGCTGCTCACAAGAGGCATTAGACAGCTGCACCTTTTCCCTTCAGTAATGTTTTCCGTACTCTTGGAGCTGTGACTTCTTTTGTAACCAAGATGGTGATTTTCACACAGAGCTGGCTAGCTTGGGGTCAACCTCATGACTTGCTAATTAAGAAGAAGAAGTTTTAGGGAACACGGGAACACGCCGAGCTGCTTTCACTGTGAAACCTGGGTGAGCAGAAGGGTAATCATGTGCTGCTATCACCGCAGCCATCTTGCTGCAACCCTGAAAAGTTTTGCATGGTTTTGCTTTGGGTACAGCGTGCTTGTTTATCAAGCACAAGCTAAGGCTTGCTTAAATCTTGCCATTCAAGTTCTCCACTGTTAAACTTTCAGGCTTTATTCAACAAAATAATCCAGCTTCCCTGTGTTATTTGGTTTAAGGCCTTTAATTTTAAGGAGAGATATCCCACAGTTATCCAGAATGATTGACCCCACTACTGCCGCAGCAGTTAGGAAAGATCTGACAGGAAATCCATGCCACCAGCACAAAGGTATTCCTTTACTGGGAGCCTCCTTGATGGTGCTCAGACTCTGTTTGTGCACGTCCCAGTGTCACAGAATCACAGAGTCGCAGAATCATAGAATGAGCTGAGTTGAAAGAGACCCTCAAGGATCATCAAGTCCAACTTCTGGCCCCACACAGAACCATCCCTGAGTCCCACCATGTGCCCAAAAGCATTGTCCAAATGCTTCTTGAACTCTGTTAGGCTTGGTGCCATGCCCATTTCCTGGACAGCCTTTTCCAGTGGCCAACCGCCCTCTGGGGGAGGATCCTTCTCCTAATATCCAACCTCAACCTTTCCTGACACAACTTCAGGCCATTCCCTGGTCACCACAGAGCACAGATCAGTGCCTGCCCCTCCTGTTCCCCTCATGAAGAAGCTGCAGAGCTGCACTGAGGCCTCCCTTCACTCTCCTCCATCTCAACAGACCCAGCGCCCTCACAAAGCTTCCCCTCAAGGCCCTGCACCATCCCCATGGCCTCCTCTGCACACTCTCTGACAGTTTAATGCCTCTTTAACCCTGTGGTGCCCAGAACTGCACCAATATTCCAGGTGAGGCCGGCCCGGCCCAGAGCAGAGCAGGACAATCCCTGCCTGGCCCGGCCGGCCATGCTGGGCCTGGTGTCCCCAGGACAGGGATGTCCCTGCTGGCTCCAGCTCCCACTGCTGGATCATGTCCATGAGCTGGCTCATCAACCAGGACCATGAGGACCATCCCAGATGCAGAATCTGTCACTTTCACCCATTAAACTCCATATATCTAGCTGTTGATTGCCCAGGCCTTTCATTCATCAAGGTCTCTCTGCAGGGCCTCCCTACCCTCAAAGGACTCAGCTGCTCCTCTCAGTTTCGTATCATCTGTGAACTTGCTCAGTGTCCCTTCCAGTCCTGTGCCCAGGTCATTTACAAAGATATTGAAGAGCACAGGGCCGAGGATAGAGCCCTGTGGAGCCCTGGCAGAAGCAGAATATTTGCTGTGCTTTCAGCCCTGGAAAGGCATGGGAAGACTCTCTGATTTGGCTGTCCTGCGGAACCAGACCTGCCTTTTCCATATGGGAAAACCTGACTCCATGGGCCACTGAGTCCACCCTGTGCTTCCTGCCATGTAGAAATTTTGCAGAGAGGGCTTTTCTCACGTGAGGAAAACAGCTTCTTGAGGTTCCTGCCTGAGTTTGATTTCACACACCAGGCCTCTGGGAGGGTGCCACACTGTTCAGTGTCCAAAT